GAGAGAGAGAGAGAGAGAGAGAGAGAGAGAGAGACTCTTTATATATTAAATAATTATATTTTCTTTTATCTTTTTTTAAATAACAAAAAACTTCATGGTCACTGTTTTGTGAAATGACGGAAACGCCTTTTTATTAACGGTCAAAAGATGACGGTGTCAGCTAAAAGGACCATTTGTTAAAAGTTTTGAAACCACAAGGACTATCTATGAGGTTTTTTGAACTTAGGGATTAAACTTCAAATTTTGTGAAACCACGGTCATCATTTATGAAGTTTTGTCTAAAAAAAAATTATGTAAGGGACTAAAAATGTAAAATTAAAATATAGTAAGAGACAAATCGTAAATTATTAAAATTATAAAGATTAAAAACTGTTTGATGAAAATTATTTGAGGGGAAAAACATAAAGGTGGAAATATGTTATTGTAGAAATAAATTTTATATTTCCAAATAAAAAGTAAATATAAAGCTTGTATTTTATGATGTCAAAGTTGTAATTTAAATTGAACTTAGATATTTCTGCTCTACTCTGGAAATAGAAACTGTAATGAATAGTAAATCCTCTTTTTTTTTTATATATATATATAGGGAATGGTTATTTGGAAAATAAAAAAACCCTAAAAATCATAAAAATGCATAAAAAAAATACCTAGAGATCACAAAGCTTTTTTTTGACATTTTTTATGAAAAAATCGCAGGTTTTTAAAAAAATTCGCTGAAAAAAATTTTGAAAAAAAAAAAACTGATTTTTTATTTTTTTTTTCAGCGAATTTTAATAAAAAGCTGCGATTTTTTATAAAAAATTCAAAAAAAAGCTTTGTAATCTCTAAGTATTTTTTGATGCATTTTTATGATTTTTAGGGTTTTTTGTTTTCTATAGAACCTAAACCTATATATATATATATATATATATATATATATATATATATATATATATATATATATATATAAAAGGACGGTGAGTGGATAAACATTTATTCTTTCACGGCCCTCACATCGTTTCTACTTTCAATCTCAACCATATTAATTCTGGTTATGGCATGTTGCTCATTCCTACATTCCTCCTCTTTCTCTGCACGTCCACTTCCACGGTTATCTCCACCTCCAAGATCGTGCACTACTGGTCTCCACTCTTGCTTCAATCGGTTGCTTTAATTCTTCCTCCTGCACGATCCCATCAAACCTTAGATTTTAAGGTTGGTGTATGTAACTGTTAAACCTATATAAAGTCAATATAACAATACTTTTCAAATCTATTTTTCAGAATAAACTTTCCTGAATTGCTTCAATCTTTTCATCAACCATGGAGTTCAATCAACGAAAACCACCATGCGTTTGAAGAACACCCTACAAAGGTAAATTAATTACACAATTTGATTTTTAACTCTGTTTCACTTCATGTTCTTTGCATCGGAAGAGGGAGATGTTGTTAGTGGCAAATCTTCGTCTTCTTTCATACCTGGTTAGTGGCAAATGCAATGCATAAGAAGTGGGGTGCATGGCCCCTACTTGGATGTGAGTTACAAGAATAATATAGTTAAAAATAATTATATTATTGTTATATTTGTAATGCTTAGTCCCAGCATAATTTTTTGGTTGTACGTACTTAAAGATTTTTTTTAAATTAATCTCTTTCTCTACTCTTATTTTAGAGCTTCTCCATTTTTTTTTGTCTTTATGAACAGTTGTAACGTTTGGGAAAAGCTACGTATGTGTGTGTTTGTGTGTATATATATATATATATATATATATATATATATATATATGTGGCGTGTAATATTGTGTATGTAGTGTGTGTATCATTTTATTCCATGTTCTTTCTTGTTCCAAAGTTTTGTGCAAATTAGATGTTGTTTCTTGGGTTTAATCCTAATAGTTATAAGTTCTCCTAGGAATATATGATACTTTAGAAAAATTGTGAACTGGAGTTCTGAAATAATATTATAAAATCTAATGTCTAATCTGTGTAATTGATTTGTATGAATTGATTTAAAATGTTATTAACAAGGTAATAACATATGTTTAATAGAATAATTGGGACAAATAAAAGATGGAAAGATGTTTATACGGTCAACACGTTGACCAACTATTGACTGATCAACGGTCAAGCATCAAGTGTGCACCCCGGTTAACTTTCGAGCTGGATCCGCCACTGTACCCAGTACAATTGTACTTCTTATTTTCCTACGGTTTTGTATCAAATTTTCAATCATGTCTACTTTGTATATGTCTCTCGATGATATGATAAAGGCAAAAAAGTGATCACAAAGTTCTGAAAACAGTGGATCTAGTGCTCGTAGTTCTATCCCTGGACCCTCTTGTCGTTTGCCAAATCGTGCCTAAGGCGCTCAAAAGGTACTGAATTTAAGACAAAGTATGACTGATCCTTCGAATAAAATGCTTTATGTGCTTAAAAAGGGTACTAGATCTCATCAAAGTAGTGGCGTAATTAAAAAAATTCTAATGAATGTCAGAAGTAAGCAAACTGGGATTCGATGATTACTTTTGATTAATTAATATTTGATTTGGGGTTAAGTTGCTTTTGATTCGTTATGGTATTATTTGTTACATCCTACAGGTTGAAGCACCTTATATGACATGGGGACACAAAATGTTTGAATGTCATGATGCAGACTGTTGTACATCCTGCAAGAACAAACATGGTATAGTCCGAAATAGAGACCAAAAATTTGTGGTTAGCTTGCTAAATCCATCATCAATTTGTGTGTTTTTATAGGTATAAACAAATGGATTTCTACTATGAGGAGCATAAAAACACAAGGGCTCTATTTAGAGTTTGTTTGGTGGGTAGTTTTTCACTTCTAATTTATATAGTTTTTTACAGACCCGGAAAAAGTATATGTTTAGCAATGTTTATATGTGTGGTCAACATGTTTGTTCATAGAATCCATAACCCTCTGTTTTTTAAGCTCGCTTGAACACCACATTCTTTTCTCTTCCATTCCAATACTATTCTATTTGTTTGTGTTTTGATTCCATAATACCCATCATCATTTTTGCCCATGTCACTATATTAGTCTTTTTGTTGTTCTTTTTTATCATACCTTATCTTTATTGCATGTTTTGTAATATATTACGAAATTCATATTTATTTGTTATGTCCGTTAGCACTTTGTTTAGAAAGATAAATTCTTGTAATTCTTCACTCATCCCTATTTCAACATGCGTAGGATGAAAAAGAATATGGATTGAAAGTGAACGAGAACATCGATTTTGATTGGAAAGAAAACTACTACGCAAGAAGGTCTATTATATTCTAATAGATATCTTGATTTGGCTTAAAATATGTCTCTTAACTAATAATAAACAACTTTAGTTGCAAAAATGTTATCTCACATTTCTTTTCCTGTTTTCCTTTGCCTTGGAATTAATCGGTTGTAACAAAACTTTTGTTAAATTTGACTCTTCTTCTATCATCATATTTTAGCCACTAGAAGGATTTGATAAATAAAAGAGCCTTTTTTACTTTTGACTTTGTTGATTTCCCAAATAAAGTAAGGCTTTTGTTCGAGTGTCTACTTTCTTATTTATTTATTTTATCTGTTTTCATCGTTTGTACATCCACATATTATTTACCTATTTACCAGTACTCCTCTTTGATTACAACTTTGTTGCTTGTATGCTTTTTTTTCTTTAGTCACACACCACTATTTATTTGGCATTGTGGGCTTATATTTTATATGCTGGAGGACTTCATATAACTACCTTTTATGGCATTCTCGTGGGAATTTAGTATTGTAGTTGTTTTGCTTTTTTTTAAGGTAAACAGTTGCATCATGTATATGTAACTTCTCTTAGAAAAAGTTTGTTAGAAAAAAAATCACATCCATTTCTTTCTTGATAATTTCCTTATCATGGTCAACAAACGAGTGTCACTCTAAACTTGAAAACCTTTATTGTCATCACATTCATCTTTTGTTAGATCTTATGTGGAAAAAACATTTCGGTTCTCATAATTGAATTTTTCTTTGACAAAAACTCATTTATTGAAATAATATATATAATTTTCATGGTACTGTTGGGTTTTTATTCAAAAATTGTTTTATAAACACAAAGATAGCAACGGAAGACTTTAATTTTGAAAAAAAATAAAACTAGTTTATTCCCACAAAAAGATCATTTTTAAATAACATAGAAATATTAAACATAACCAAAAGAAAAAGAAAGTGAAACAACCTTTGAAGACTTTGGTTCCTTTTGGCACTTAAGAAGTTGATGAAGATGACTTTAAGCTCTAAGGAAGAAGCTCTCTAATGTATCCACCAACATTTAGCCAACTTGATAAGATGATAGTCTTCATCTTGTAATAAAAGAATCTCTTAAGTCTTTGAAAACAAAAAAAAACTTTTGTTTTAAAGGACAGTTCAAGTAAAGTATCAAAATCTTCCTACTTTGATCTTAACACTTTAAGAGACAAAAACTAGAGAGAATATGGAGATTGGAAGCCCATAATTTCATGGATTTTTTGGCTAGTAAAAGAAGAGATACATGCAAACATTTTAATCATCTTAATCCAAGTCCTTACTCACTACGTCTTGATGCTTTAATACAACATGCATCTATGTAGAGTTCGAAATAGGCTGTGAGGTGTCGAAGTACCTTTTTTCATGTCTAGTTTCGAAGTCTGTAATCATGTATTCAAATATATCTATTACATAAGGCGCGTTAAGATTTCGAAGCTTAAGTGTCTGAGTCCTTATGTATTTTTTTTGTGTGCTTCTGTTAACTCCTATAAATAGGGGTAGGTATAGGAGTTAGAGTAACTTTTGTGAACCTTTGAACACTTTACTCTTTCAACTCGTGTACTCATACAGAAGCAATAAAGAGCCAAACATATTATATTTACATTTTGTGTTCTTGATTCAATTCATACTCTGATTTCGTTTTATACACTCGATTCATACGAACTACATTTTGGTATCAAAGCAGGATTCTTTCAATTGTTTTCTAGTTTTCTCGTGTTCTAAAAAAATTTTGAATCGCTATTTTCGATTCAGAAATATTCCGCACTTTTGATCTAGAAAACCTGATCTAATCAATTGATTTGATTCGATTTTGCGTTTTGTTTGACAAATCGAGTGTTCTCTGATCTGTTTCTGATAGAATCATCTGCTAGATTCACATTTTTGACGCTTTTCGTCATTTCAGTCCGTACATCAATGGCAAACTTTTACATGAATACCATGACTGGTTTCTCTCATCTTCTCGGTTCTTCTACCAAAATTCCGATGCTAATCCCTGAATATTATGAGCAATGGGCGGTTAGAATGGAAGATTATCTCAACGGGATTAATGAAGATCTTTGGCATTGTATCACCAGTGGAGACTATCGTCCAGGAAGGCTAGAACAAGTCAGAACAATTGGTTCCTCTACTGATGTTGGTCTGCAAGTTGACAAACAGAAAGCAAATGATAAAAGGTGTATGCGTGAACTTTGCGGTGCTCTTTCACTGGTGGTTTAAAACTATGTTCGAGGTTGCAAATCGGCAAAAGAAATCTTGGATACATTGAAAGTGAAGTATCAGGGAAGCGGGAAGACAAGAAAAAGTTATGTTAAGTAGTGTCTTCTTGAATTGGGTGAATTCAAGCAAAAGGATTGTGAAACAATCGAATTGTATTACGATCGTCTAAACGAATTGATCTTCAAATGCAGTCGTTATGGAGTCGTACGTTCTACTCTCGAGTACAATCTCACCTTTTTAATGGGGCTTTGAAAGGAATGGAGAAACATTAGTTTGATGATCAAGACCCAACGAAGCTTCGATAACTACTCTTTGGGAGATCTCTATAATGTTCTGAAACCTCATGAGAGTGAGATCAACGAAATTGTTGAAGAAGGAAAAATGAAATTGGGTGGTCGTCTTGCATTGGTTTCGAAGATGACAGGAAAAGAGTCTGAATTCGAGTCTGCTGAGATTGAAGGTTATGGTGATGAGGGTTTTCTCATGAATTCGGAAGATGAAGTTGTGTCTTATTATTCTAACAACAAAGTTAAGAAGTTCTTCAAGAAGCCATTCAATCCGAAGTTCAAAAGAAACAATGATTTTAAGGGAAATTCATCATCTGGGAAGAGTGTTAGAGAAGATTCGAAGGTTGAGAAGAAGGAAAGTAAAACTGCTGGTGAGAAGGTGGAGAAGAAGCTTAAAGGAGATTCTGGTTTTGATTGCAATTATTGCAATGGTGCAAACCATTTTGCAGTTGATTGCATGTTGAGGAAAAAGAGGAGAAGAAAGAAAGAATGAAGAATGAAGCCTACTATGTCAAAAAACTGGAGGAAGTTAAGGAAAGGAAGAAGGGAATGTCTCTTGTTGTGAAGGGAAGTCGTGATGGGGATGGTACTTATAAAATGTGGTCATCTGGATCAGATGATGAGGAGATGAGGAACCCCACACACGGTGCTATGTATGCGAGGTTCGAGGATGGAAGTTCTGAGGAAGAGAAAGTAACAGGAAAGTGCTTTGTTTCAACTGGAGCATAAAAATATCCAATGACTTTGAAGGTACGTTCTCTTCTCGAATCCTTTGATATTCCTTTCGGTTCATATGATGCTGTTTTATCTGACTTTGATGCTACTATATCTTATGTTAATGACATGCTTGTTTCTGTTAGTAGCGATGCTGAAAAATCGAAATCATTGTTACTAGAAACACAGAAACATTTGGAGACAAAGAGTAGAGTAGATAATCTTGAATTACAATTGAAAAATGTTACTCTTGATAGGGATAATGTTAGATCAGATAATTGTATTTTGATGAAACAACGTAACATTTATTGCAATTCTGCTAAAAGATTGTATGCTAAACTAACAGATCTACATCATTCTTCTGATATTAGTAAGGAACAACATAGGAAACTATTGCCATTTCTGGTATTCAAAAGGGAGAAAATAGATTCGACATCCTATGATTGTGAGAAAAAGATCTCTGAATTTGACAAAGTCCTAAATGATTCTTATGCATATGGTATTGTTAAAATAGATGAATGTTTAGATGCTAATGATTTGGTTCATATTGTGAATGACACCTTAACTAAGATTGAACAAATCAAAATTTTGAAAAAAACTAAGAATTCGACTTTTGACTCTCAACATAATTTTGTTGATATCGAAGATGATTCTGACAATATCAGTTAGATTGAGGAATAGGTAACTGTTGATTGTTCCTAGTTATCTATCATTAATGTCACTTCAATGGGCAAGGGTAAAGAAATATGTAATGATTCGTTGGAAAATGTTAACACTGGCCGACCCTCAACTTCGAAAGCTCATGACTATGATTATGTGGAAGTCAATGACTATGACAGTGATAGTGATGAGGACGACACTACGATTCCCATAGTTGTTGGTGATCAAGTTTATGAGGAAACAGAGAAATTCGAAAAAGTAATGAAGGAAACAGGCCATCATTATCTTGAATCAAAACTTAGTCGTATATCCATCATTCAAATGCATCGATGATATGGTGTTTCCAAATCAAGTGTTTGTTACTACAGGAAATGGAGACAAAGTGAATCCTGAAATCAACAAAATTGTTGATGACGACAATCAAGGGAGTTACTAAAGAAAGGTTTTTCTCAAACAAAAGCACGGTTGAAAATACTCTAAACAAGAACTCATCCACTTTTCAAAGGCAAAAACCTAAAAGAATTTGGGAAGTTAAAACAGAAAAAGAAAGTGTTGTTAAACAACCAATTGAACCAGTTTCTCAAAATCAAAAGACAAAAGCACAAATTTTCAATGAAAAAATTCAAAAAGTTTCAAAAAAAGACGGTATTTCGATGTCAAAAGCACGAAACAAGGTTTATTGGCAAAATATAAAGTATTTTAAGAAACAAAAAGATTTTTCACCAAAATCGTCTGAATAGAAATCGACTGGACAAGTTAAGACTTTTTCACAAGATAAGTCTTTTGTTCAGAAAACACCCGCTCAAAAACAAATTGATTTTTCAAAAGATCATTCAAAAGTTCAAAAACCAATTCGAACACCGAGTGTTCAAAAACCAAGAAATGCAAATTTTACTCAAACCCAACAACAAATGAATTTTGTTCCTAATCGTCAAAATGCAAGTTTTTCTCAAAACAATTCCAAATAAATGGTTTTCAATTTAATAAACAAAGACATGTTCATGAATCTCATGGTCAAGGAGGATTTTCGAATGGTCAACAAGTTTTTTAATCGTACATCCGTCGGTTATAACAAATTGTTTCAAAATTGATATCAAAACCATGAAAATCATCATTTCCAAAAAGAGATTTTGAAAAGTTGGAAGTTCAAGGAAAGAGAAACGAACTGTTTAAACCAAAACCACCTCATTTTCCAAATCATGATTTGAAGAAGAAAGTTAAAGCTTCATGTGTCAAGGGGAAAACTGAAATGAAGAATTTAAATCATTGGCTCGAAGGCAAAGGAAAGACATACCAATCTGGGAATTTT